AGTGATGCCCATAAGAATGCCCATCACTAAACTTTCTGGCTAAGATGGTTTCAATTTAACAAAATTGAAACCCCAAACTTTCTATTTCAAAGGATTCCCATCACGCACAGATTTGTGCCCACCCATGTTTGGTGCTCATATCTAAGAGAGAGAGAGAGAGAGAGAGAGAGAGAGAGAGAGAGAGAGAGAGAGAGAGAGAGAGAGAGAGAGAGAGAGAGAGAGAGAGAGAGAGAGAGAGAGAGAGAGAGAGAGAGAGAGAGAGAGAGAGAGAGAGAGAGAGAGAGAGAGAGAGAGAGAGAGAGAGAGAGAGAGAGAGAGAGAGAGAGAGAGAGAGAGAGAGAGAGAGAGAGAGAGAGAGAGAGAGAGAGAGAGAGAGAGAGAGAGAGAGAGAGAGAGAGAGAGAGAGAGAGAGAGAGAGAGAGAGAGAGAGAGAGAGAGAGAGAGAGAGAGAGAGAGAGAGAGAGAGAGAGAGAGAGAGAGAGAGAGAGAGAGAGAGAGAGAGAGAGAGAGAGAGAGAGAGAGAGAGAGAGAGAGAGAGAGAGAGAGAGAGAGAGAGAGAGAGAGAGAGAGAGAGAGAGAGAGAGAGAGAGAGAGAGAGAGAGAGAGAGAGAGAGAGAGAGAGAGAGAGAGAGAGAGAGAGAGAGAGAGAGAGAGAGAGCACGCCAGAGCTATAGAGAAAGAGAATCGAGTGAGACGGAGAGTGAAGGCTGAAACGATTGAGAGAGAGAGAGAGAGAGATAGACGGCAGGGATTGAGCAAAATGGGGGTTTAGATTGGGGCTGAGATTTTTGGTATGGGTTTGGTTTAGAAACGAAGCCTGGGAAGGAAATTGAGAGACCATGAGATATAGAGATGAGAGAGACAATTATGGAGAAGAAAGAGAGAGATACCTGAGAGGAGAGGAGTCGCTGTCTCGTCGTCACAGGAGGAGGAGAGGAAAGAGAGAGAAGAGAAACCTTACCCTAACTCGACTTGAAAAGGAGAGTTTCTGCTTTTTTTATTCTTTTTACCTACAACAACCGATTTATCCGGTAATTAACTCAACGGTGTGGATAACTCCACATCACCAACTATTCATCCAATGGCTTATAACAGTGGGCGCATCCATGCGCCACGCCCACCGTAGAATTTTCCATGGTTTGTATATATATATGTAGAAGCAGCAAGTTGGAGAGTGGGTGGGTGGGGCAATTAGAAGTGTAAAAAAATATTTTTTGTTATTCGAGTTAGGCACGGCAATTTAAACTGAGTGTTGCTATTTTGACTCTTAATTTTTATTCTCGCATTCATCTTATCTTCAAAAATTTAAAGACAAATTTACCCTTTGTAAAATGACTTTTAAGGATTTAGAAAGAAAAAAAAACCCACATATTCTCCCTCATCCCGTGTCAACCCCCACCCCTCATCCCGACCAAACCCAACCGCCCCACCACCCAGTAAAATAAGTTGATGCTGTTGGTTTTGTTGTTGGCTTTTCGTATAAGGCCCTCACTTGGCTTTCTCCATTTCGTAATCTCTCTCTAAGCCATAAACATGAGAACAAAGGGTGGGGTTTGCTAACCGAGAGTTGGAGTAGCAGGAGATGTGTGTTTTCATGAGGAGACGAAGGACTTCGCCGGCGATACGTGGTGCTTAAGTTGTCCTTTTTACATGTAAATCAAAAAAGCAGTAGATCAATTTAGTTCAAGATATTCATCCCTATTTACAATACGTTATTATTTGAAATCCAATAAGCATTTTTATCTAAGCTCATTATCTTGAGTCTCTTGACTGTCATCTCTAGGGCTGGGCGCGGTCCGGTTCGGCCCGGTTCTGAGCTTAACTCGAAATCGGAATCGTTACTGTTCATCCGGTCCGATTCGGTTCGATTTTTAAAAAAAATAGAAGAAAAACCGGATCAAGCCAAACTGTCTGATCCGGTCCGATTTTCCGATTTGGGCTGGTTTACTTTTTTTTTTTTTTTTAAAATAAAAAAATTTGTTTCTTTGTGGGCTTAAGTAGCATATAAGACCCTATTCACATTCCTATAAAAATTTGGCCTAAAATAATTTCTACATGCCATCTTAACTTCCAAATACAAAACATGGTCATCCAAACCAAACATACAATCTTAAGAATTATATCTCAATGTAAAAATTAATAATTAAATTACAAACCAAATTTGAAATTTGAAACATAAGCCAAAAATTAACATATAACACCAACGAAGGCTTCGTTCACATATTAAATTATCACTGGAACGAAGGACTTGAGTTGGTTGGTGTCGGTAAAATTGTACGATCTACAAATAAAAACACACATCAAAACATTAGGCAAAAATGCAACTATATATATATATATATTAATAGTATACATCATTAAATCACATCAAACTAAAAACAAATACCTAACTCAATGAATTCAACATAGCAGCATTAATAAACTGATAAACCCATCCAATTAATGCAATTAATTATTTATCAAAACTACTATTAAACTGCTTACCTATGGCTTATGAGGAGGTGAACTGCTACTGCTGCTCTTGCTACTGCTTCTTCTCCTCAAAGATCTGCATAAAACACCATCCACCATCAGAACAAGCTAAAGCCAAATACCAGATATTTTAAAAACCAAACAACCCACCAGTCCCATAGAAACATGAGAATTTTTTAAAGTTAAAAAACAAGTAGTAAGAACAAATTTCATAGATAAACTAGTAAGCACAATTCAAACAACGAAAAGAGGCCTGAAATCTAAGTTACACTAACAACGACATCAATCAAACAATTCAAATTTACTACAAGGTTGCAGAAAAAACCAAAAGCCAACCTGATAATATCTGCCATCAAGCTTCTTAATACCATAGCCCAACTGAACTGTGCCAAATGACTTCATGTCAGTAAGAACTCCATTTCTTCTGTAAACATGTTTGCTTACTCTAGCAATCAAGTCCATTAGAGCCTCCTTCCTTACATGGGGTTTCATCAGCAGCATACAATCATACAGAGGGGGTGGAAATAATAATTAAAGCGTATTTTAGAAATAATGGTGGGAGGAAAGATATGATTGCGTTTTTTCAAATTTCCATGGTGGGTGGAAAAATAGTACAAGGGGGTGGAAATAGTAGCTTTCTTCCAATTCAATGTATGGGAGCCTTAAGCTGAAATTTTATCATTGTTTCTTATTAGGGCTTCTTAAATCTAGGTCCACAACGATTAGCTATCATTGGGTTTAGTCCTCGCGGTTTTAGTTTTAGATGCAGGTCCTTTTACATCTATTACTTTTTTGTTGTGTCAATTTTACCCTTTGAGGTAAATAAGGAAAACACATTGAAAATCTAAATTTAATACATTATTTCCTTGTAATTGAATTCCATAATTTAAATTTTGAATTCTTTCCTTCATAATATTCCTAATATATGGACAAAATACAATTTAATCAATACAAAGTAAAGACCCACAAATTATACCAATACAAGCACCCACATTAAATTATATACCTGACATACAAGTAAATAGTGTTATTATTAGTAACGAAAAATACTTAGTGATAAATCATGTTACCTATAAGTTAGGAACATAAATTAGAAAACTACCTATAAGTCAGATAAAAAAATAGAAAACTACCTATATCTCCGGTACATAAAAAAGATAAATGGTAAATCGTATGTTACCTATAACTTAGATTCATAAACAAAAAGGCAAAAAAGTGTGGTACCTATATCTCATGTATGTCAAAACACAAGTCAATTAATAACTTTTTTTTTCTTAAAGGAATATGTTACCTATAATTTAGATATATATATGAAGAAAAATATATCAAAAAATGTATTACGTACCTATGTCTCCGGTATACTATACATAAAAGAACAACTAAAAAGAACAAAATAACTGAACCTGATTAAAAGTTGAGCATATATTCAACATAGAATAATAATAATAAGATTACCTCATTAAGAGTTGTTGGATGAGGAAAGAAATATAATATTGGCTAATTATCTCATTAAGGTAATCTAAGATAATGGGCAATATTGGAAAAAAAAAAGATTTTAAATATATAAAATAAAAAGATTACATCAGACAATATTCAAAAAGGAATGTAATCCTATGTGGCACAAAAGTCAAAGGACTTGTATCAAAGTCACCAAATCCGAGGATTAAACCCAACTTCTAGATGAGAATTTGGATCTATATCAACTTTTCTATTCTTATTATTATCACCTTCCATTTACTATACATATACTAAAAGAGATGTACAAGAAATTTCTTAATAGTTTTATTCAAAGTTAAGTCTCTGTTAAGTGAGAGGTGGAAGTACAATTTTGCCCATGCAAGCACGCATCATATGCACTCAAATCGATGGAATTGACAGATATGACTTAATTTGTTAACGACTGCAAATGAAATGATGAAATTGGAAAAATTGGAATCATGATGACCAGAATTGTTTTCGAACCCAACCCCAATAACAAAAAATGTTTTTTTATCCTTAATTTAAACCCAATAAAAATGTTGAAACGTTTGATAAGAAGGTAAAACATCACTCACTAGAAAGTGGGAATTTGACATGAAGTTTCAAATTTGAAATGACTTAAAAAGAGATTTCATTGGGTGGTGCCTACCATACTTTTTGTCCATTCTTTTTCTCTTTTTCCTTTCCTCTTGACCTCCTCATCTTCCCATTCTCATTGCTTTCCCTCCAGCATCATCTCCCTCACTGTTTCTTCAACTCGTTTATGGTGTAATTTTACAACAAATCTTTGCAGATGCCTATGCTAGAGTTTCTTTGATCTTGCATGATCTTTAGTGGAGGCGCACTAAGATTGTCTTAATTTTAATGTTAGATTTCTTCATAATTGTAATGTTTCTTCATCGTTAGTTTGTATTGGCCCTTTGTAACTAGTGGCTTTTTTGGTTGAATTATTACTGCAATCCCAGAATTTGTTTAAAAAAGAGATTTTATGGAATTCACATATGCGGCGTGGCTAAATTTGGTTTTTCTTTTTCCCGATTTTGGGTTTAGGGTTTAAGATTGTCTTAATTTTAATGTTAGATTTCTTCGTAATTGTAATGTTTCTTCATCATTAGTTAGTTTTGGCCCTTTGTAACTAGTGGCTTTTTTGGTTGAATTATGACTGCAATTCCAGAATTTCTTAAAAAAAGAGATTTTATAGAATTCACATACGCAGCGTGGCTAAATTTGGTTTTTCTTTTTCCCGATTTTGAGATTTCATCTATCAAGCTGCTGATAGCCAAGTATCTTCAAAGAGATGACATAGTACTCGATTTTGCGCTAAAACAACTGGTTTATAATATTCCCTTCCTTTGTTGCACCGAACGATAAGGTTCAGGGTTACAATATGATACTGTACAATAATTTCCAGAAATTTAGAAATCTGGTACAACAATTAAAATAATATATATATTTTCAATATTGCTAACAATATCAAAATTGTGCACTAAATTTGGCTCTCGAATGATACGACATCTACCGGACATATCATCAATTTTACACCATGTGGCTTAATTAACACAAGAGTCATTAATAGAAAGTTAACCAAACTCTTAGGCAGTTATAAACCCAATTAGCCTTTCCTAGTCCATGCATGAAAGTAGTTCCACTAATCGGAGCGTTCCCATTTGGGATGAATCTCGTTGTTTTAAAGAAAGAAAAAACCAACAGGAGTTGGTCCAAGTGGAAGGGGCTTGGATCCTTTAAACAAGAGGTCCTGGGTTCGATCCCAGGAGCTTGCGAATAGAGCAGACTTTGTTGGGAGAGGTCCCCGCTTTGCGCCCGACAGTACCTCGAGGGTTAGTCCCCGCAATCGCGCGGGGGATACCTTGGTTTTCACCAAAAAAAGAAAGAAAAAGAAACGAAGAAGTCAAAAAAGGAAGAGACTGTTGAAAGTTGAAAATAAAGATAGGATTAAGGAATAAGGAACGAGGTAGAGTGCAAAAGTTAAGATAAAACTTTAAAAAAACGGTGTTGATTTTTCCATTTCTTTTTTGTCCCCTTACACTTCTTTTTATTTTTAATACTTTTTATTATCACATATAAGAGAGTGTAAGTGGACAAAAGAGGATTGAGAACATACAATTTTCAACAAAGTGAGTGTAAGTGAACAAAAGAAGAGTGGGAAAATTGATTCCCTAAAAAAACCTAGGGCAGCAGATGTAGTAAAAAAGAAGAGGGTGGGCCTAGTGCCCCCGAAACCTCTTGGGCGAGAATGAGGTTCTTCTTTCCTTCCTTTTTATTCGTCCCTCTGGTTCCATTGTATCTTAATCATATCGGGATTGCCCTTTCTGTACTGGGGACATATTAGATAATTAATATTTCAGAAAAGTCAATTGCCCTTCCCAATTGATGAAATCATGAAAATTGACTTGCCTATTGAAGATAATTCCACTTTGATCAAGAAGAGAAAATTAACGACAAGTTCCATGATGAAAAATATTTGGCTTAATTGTAGCAATAGTCTATGGATTTACACCCTATTTGCATTTTGGTTCTTAAATTCGCAAAATAATTTCGGTAGTCCTTGAACTCCACGTATTAGTTATGGCGTCATTTCTGCTAATTCTTTTTTTGGGGGTTAAAATCAAGGGTAAAACTGTCTTTTTCGGGTGGTGTTTATTTTCCACCCTCTTGAACTCTTTTCCCTTGTGCAGCCCCCACTGAAATTTACCTTAAATTCCAAATGACCTTTTTATAATCTAATGCCGCTGCTACACTTGATTACATTTTTGTAAAAAAATTCTCTTTTTTGTTTTTTGGTTTTTTTTTACTGTGGGAATACCTTTCGAATAAAATTTATTTCAAAAAAAGAAAAAGAAAAATTGAAAAAAAATAACACAATCCCCTTACTTCGCACTGTCTTTCCTTGCCGCCCTTCCTTCGCACTGTCTTTCCTTGCCGCCCTTCCTTCTCTTCTCCTCTCTTCTCTCTCTCTTTCTCTCTCTCCCTCTCCAAAATTGCAAGATCTCTTGAGTTCGATAGATTTTTATAAACTTTGATGGGTCATTATGGGAACACCGCCGGTGGTGGTATTTTTCCCTCACTTCGGAAACACATCTCACCCACATTCACTTTATTATTATTTTCTGTTCGAACATGTACTTTATAATTTGGGGTTAGATGTTAAAATCGTGCACTAAATTTGAATAGGGTTAGATGTTAATTATTTTAAGTTTAGGCAAGCGATTTCATTGAGTGGTACGACAATTAAAATAATATATAAAATTAGGAATCAGACATAATTAACTTCAGTAATTTGGATTTGAGACATTAGGTATTTTGGTTTGGGTTTTAATACCCATAAAAGAATTGGTATTTTGGATTAGGCCAAAGAGTAGGCCCAGATTTGTTGGGCCAGCTTAAAACTAAAACCTGAAAATACAATTGTACCCTTCTTCTTAAAAAGCTTGGCCCATCTTTAAACCTACAAATCAAATGGCGCTTTTACCCTTGGACGTTTAAAATACGCGCGATACCTTCTCTTTCATTTTCGTTCGTCTTTGAGGTTTTGGAGCTCTGGTTTTGGTTCTACGAAGGGAGCTTCGATTTTCTGCTACATTGTCGTTCGATTTGCATCCTAAACCCTATATTCTTCGTTTTGTGATCAGATTTGATTTTGAGCTGCTGTTTGGTTGGGTTGATTATTGGCAGTCCTAGGTGTTGAGGTATAAGTACTTTTGAACCTTTTTTCGTTTATATCGACTTATATGTTTTTGGACTTCAGTTTTAGTACTTTGATCTTGGTTTCCTTTTGGTTTCTATTTGAATTTTTTTATTTTCTATCATGAACTGCATCTGTTTGTTGCCGTTTTTCTGCATTGTAGTTTCTGGTTTCATCTGTTCAATTTCAGACTAATATTTGCAAGTATATGGGAATATTACAACTGCTCATCTACATTATTTACTGATTTGAATTGTATTCTGTTTTTGTTTGTTGTTTTGTTTGCAATTTCAAGGCTAATGGAGGTTTGTGTCATTGCCAAGTGCACATATAAGTCCGAAACCATCATGTTTTTAGTTTCAGAAAAATCATCCATGGTTGATGTTTCGAAGACTTTGTGTCTAAGGTTTAGGGGTTTGTAGTTGGGTAGTTTCACGTTACGGTATTCGCTGCCCGGTTATTCTAGTTGTTTACTAGAAACAGATAGTGATTTAGATATGATGATGGCATATTTGTCGATATCAAATGCGAAGACTGTGGATATTTTAGTTAAGGATTTATTGGTGAGCGGTGAGTATAGTGGTGATGTTTGTGCAACTAAGGAGTTGATATCAAGTGAAAAGGGCGAGTCTTCGTGTTCTAGTACTGTTGAAGATAGAAATGAATTTTTGGGCATGTCGAAGAGAGCAAGTGCTAAGCCTTTGTTGTCAAATGAGTGGGAGATGTACATACATCATGTAGGGCAGAAGTTTGACGGTGGTGCAGAGGAGTTCCGGTTGAAATTGTGCAAGTATGCTCTTGAAGTAGGATTTAATTTTTTATATGCCGGCAATGACAAGAAGCGAGTGATTGCTGTTTGTTCGAATAAGAAATTGGAGGGTTGTAGTTGGCGTGTTTATGCTTCTCGTTGTGAATCTACCGGCTGTTTTGTAATTCGGACGTTAAATAATGTGCATACATGTGTGGGTCGGATACGGGAATCAAAGAGTAAGATGATGAGGTCTCGTGTGGTGGCCTCTCTCTTTGTGGACAGAATTCGTGCAAAACCAGAGCTGAAGCCAATTGAGATTATACACGAGTTGAAAGATTATTATGGTATGGACATTTCATACTACCATGCATGGTTTGGCAAAGAGTTAGCTAAACTGGGCGTTCATGGTGATGAGTCGAAGTCCTTCAACGAGTTAGTGTGGTATATGGACGCGGTAAATGAAACTAACATTGGTTCTCTATGCGAGCTTGAATGTGAAGCTGGAATTAATCGCTCCAGACGGTTTTTTGTATCCTTTGGCGGTTGCCTTGCTGGATTTCAATATTGCATACCCTTGTTGTTCATTGATGCTACATTTTTGAAGAGCAAGTACAAGGGGCAGCTTCTTTGTGCTTCCGGAAAGAATGGAAATCAAGGTACGGTTACTGTACTGTATTGGATTTTTGTGTAATCTGCATTATTGTTTTGTGTAATTTGTTGTTATTTTGTGTATTCTGCATTGCAGTTTATGTTTACTATTTTGTGTAATTTGTTGTTGCTTATACTTGCGCTTTTGGTTTTATTTTGCAGGGTTTTATCCTCTAGCTTTTGGAGTTGTTGATTCTGAGACAGAGGAGAATTGGACTTGGTTTCTTCAACATTTGGCTTCTATATTGCTTCTGATGGGGAGAATGGTGACCTTTTTCTCGGACCGCAATCATGGTTTGTTAAATGCTATGGGGGCTGTGTTTCCTGGATGGCCTCATTCTTACTGCTACTATCACCTCAAACAGAATTTGATATCGAAGTACCCGAAGTCAGGTTATGGGAAACTGCTCCAAGACCGTGTTGTCAATCTCTTTAGTAAATGTGCATATGCTGTTACGGAGGAAGAGTTTAAAGTAGCAATGGACGAGTTGGTGGTTGTTGGGAGTTCGAAAGTGAAGACATTTATATCTGAATTGTCTAGAGATCACTACGCCAAAGCTTTTTTTTCCAAGGAATGCGTTATGGAGAGATGGCAAATAGTTTAGCTGAGTCATTTAATAATTGGGTTGGCGTATTTCGTGATTTGCCGGTGCTACCTATGATAGAGGGCATTCGACAAAAATTAATGGTATTGAATTCTCAACGACGAATTGAAGCGAATAAGTGGACAACAATTTTGTGTCCGGAGATGGAAACAAGACTGTGGGAAAATGCGGAGGCAGGTAGGACTTGGGCAGTTCGTCGTTCTAGTTGCACTGTTTTTGAAGTATTTGCTGACTATTCTGTGATGGTTGATCTTGGGCAAAGGAAATGTTCTTGCCGTCTTTGGCAAATTGATGGTTTTCCTTGTACGCATGTCGTGGCTGCAATTCTAGCAAAGAAAGATTCGGTTTACGATTATGTTGAGTGTTACTACAGTTCTGATTTCTTTCAAAAAGCCTATGAGAGTCCTATTTTTCCTATTCCAGATATTGGGAAAGGCTTGGGCAGCAACGGTTCAGCTGTTGGAGTTATGCTTCCGCCAATTACAAAGAGGCCAGCCGGAAGACCACCAACAAAGAGGATCAAAGCTTTTAGTGAAGGTACAAGGCCATTGAAATGCAGTCGGTGCAGTGTTGCTGGGCACAACAGGAAGACTTGCAAGGCAGTGATATGAACATTCCTTCTCAGTTGACAATTGCTTATGTTAGATATGATTTAGTGAATGTATAGTCAATTTCTGCATTGCAGTTTTTATTTGCTTGTAATTGGCTACACGATTTGTAATTGGATATTATGATTCTTTTTTGAAGTTAATGAAAATTATACAATTGTTTCATCAATGGATATTCATTTTTAACTGCCATTCAATTCTTGTTTTTCTCTTTTGAGCCATCGTTTTGATTCTTGGCTTTCGTTGGTTTTGAGCTTCATTCTTTTGTGGTGTCATTTCTTGTGCCATTTGTGATCTGAAACAAGAAGGGATGAAAACACTCTTTTAAAAGGAGCAATCCAAAAGGCAATGCAATGATCTATGCAGAAAACCCTGGGACAATACAGTTTGTGTTTCTGCAATGCACTTTGTGTTTTTGCAATGCAGTTTGTGTTTCTGCAATGCAATGATCTATGTAGAAAACCCTCTTTTAAAAGGAGCAATCCAAAAGGCAAAACATCATATCCCATAACTAGAAATATTTACAAATCTTTTCTCGTATCCCATAACTAGAAATATTTACAAACATCCACAACAATCAAGATACATATTGCCTTGAGTTCACAAAAGACAAATCACTAGAGATGATTAATGACACAATGTCTATGGTGTAGGAGTTTTAGTAAATCACTAGAAACGATTAATGACACAATGTCTGTGGTGTAGGAGTTTTAGTACGTATTGTACTCGATATTCGTTCATGAAATTCTTGTCTACACTTTGTGGAATGGGCTGTCCTTGTGCAATTTTATCCATGTACAACATGACGAACATGCCACAATCCAACCTGCAAATGAATAGGAGATTAGTTTTTGGTTTTGAAGGATTTCAAAATGTAATGAAAAGTTGAGTAGAAACAATTCTTACGAAGATGAACTTTGTTGAGCACATTCTATGTCCTCCTCAAATGGAAACTGATATGGATTCTGCCGAATCCAATTGAGAGTGAGTTCTTCATTTGGGGACATGTCCTCGAGTACAGGTGTAGGGGGCGCTTCCCTTTGCTTCACAAGTTTTGGTATTTTTCTACTTTCTAAGAACACTCGTGCTTGAGGTCTTATATATTCCAGCCACCCTTCAACAATATTAACCTGTTTAAAGAAGGAAAAAAATATCAAAAGACAGTAGGAATAACACAGAAACTGCATTGCAGAAAGTGTTTTTGTTTGTGCTGAGAAATTAAGACAGCTTCATTCCACTTACCATATTGTGAGAAATGTCAACGCATCTCTCTTTTTTTCTTGCTCCCAATGACCTTAGTGGATTGTAGTGTCTCCACTTTCGTTCATGTTTGTGAAATGCAAGGAGTGTAAAATGGAACTCGGTTCTTGAAATGATTGGGAAGAAAAGCACATTGCATTTCCCGAGTTTTTCAAGCAACGGTTCAAACAGGGCCCTGTGCCAACCTGGCTCTAGAAAGGTTTGCATGTAAGACTGCAAGCATTGAATGACAATTTGTTAGTATAAACAATTTTGAAAATAATGAGGAGCCCAAGAATTTTGAAACAGGGCCCTGTGCCAACCTGTCTGTTTAAACAATTTTGAATTTTGAAAATAATTCTTACCCAAGTCCATGTGGACATGTACCGTGGACTATCTGTCTGCATGGGCCCTATTTTCTCCTCCTCTATTTGCATATAGGCCTCAATAACCTGTTTCACATTGATTGGAGAAAAATGGACTTGTTAATGGGTAATATACTGCAGTGCAGTGTGTGTTATAGAATTAGTAGTTTAGACTTACGTTTTGTGATAGTTCCAGGTCCCATACAATATCTCTGATATCGTCGTTTGTCACTTTCTCAGAACGGAGTCCTTCCCAAAAGTTATCACTGCGGATTTGAATACATGAAATTCACAAGATGAGTTTCAGTTTAATTGAAAATAAAAGATGAAAGAAGTGTTCTTTTGGGATAGGGATATTACCTAGGTTGAGTACTTAAGTAGTATTCTTCAATTTTGTCCCTGTCCTCTTTTGGGATTTTCTGCCAAACCTTCCTTTGACCCCATCCTAGTTTTTTCTTTGTTGGCTTTTTTCGTGTCTTTTTTGCCAAAGCCTCATCATCTGAGTTTTGCAAACCTACAGGTATCGAATCATCAGGGTTTGTTCCTTTTGGGAAATCAAGAAGTGGCTTTGTGGCATAAGGCTGAGATGCCTCTTGTGTTGACTGCAGATTGAAAGGAAACTAATTAGAAACTGCAACGCAGAAAACATGAACAAAAGGAAGCTTGAACTGCAGTAATTGCATACCTCCATTTGATTTAGAGGATCCTCTTGTGTTGATGGCTCCTCAGAAGAGATAAGCTTGAATTGTGGTATTTCTTCATCACCCTTTTTTGTGTCCTTCTTTTTTGGTTGCTTATCTTTTTTATACTCATAGCAAGATGCTTGAAGCCTCTTTCTTTCTCTGTTCTTCAGCCTTTGTATTCTTGAAGGAACATCAGGTGTTTGAGCATTTTTCTTCTTCTCTTCTTGTTTCTTCTCTTCTTCTTTGTCTTCTTCTTCATTTTCTTCTTCTTTCTCTTCCTCTTCTTTCTCTTCTTCTTCTTTCTCTTCTTCTTTCTCTTCTGCTTTCTCTTCTTCTAATTCTGCAATTCTCCTTTTCAGATTTAGTATTTCTTGACGCTGAAATGTAGATTCAACTGTCAAGGCAGCACTTATACATTCTTCATTATCTAATTTGTCTTTGTGTTTCTCCAACTCCTCTTGCAGCTCCATTGATCTTTGTTCTTCCTGGATAATTATATCCCACAACTCTGTCATCTTCTTCTCACTGTCCTTCCACAATTGTAATCTTTTTGGGCAAACGAAGCTAGGATCTTGGCGTTGGTGGTAGTTGATTTGGTCTGTCATGGATTTTACCAAGATGTCTTGAATTGCAAGAGGTGTAGGGGGCTCTGCTTCTCCTTATTTTCCTTCATCATCTTCAATTTGGCAATTCTGCAAATTGAAAAGAAACTAATTAGGAACTGCAATGGGAAAAACACAAATTGCATTGCAGGAAACAGAAACTGTTTAGAGATTCTAATTACCTTGTCAAGAGGGTCTCCCTCTTCTCTGGTGGTTTTTCTCTTTTTATATGTTTTCAAATCACCCTGTACAATGAGAATGGTTTAGAAATTGCAATGGAAAAGAGAAACTGAAATGCACTATGTACAGATTTTAATTACCTTCTCCACAGGGTCTCCCCCTTCCCCGGTAGTTTTTCGCTTTTTTGGGGCTTTGAAAATACCCTGTTCAATGAGAATGATTTAGCATGGATTCACATTCAACATACATTAAAATAGAACATGCGATAAATTGCATACCTCGATGTCATTTAAGTTTTTTATTTGGTTGAATCTTGTGTGGAGTTCCATAAGACTCTATTTAAGAATGGCAGGATTTTCTTCCTCCTTGCCAAGGATTGGCTGTATGATGTTTGTTCTCTCACAAAATAGAAACTGCAGTACAGAAATTATGTTGGATACTGCATTGCCTAAAACTCAAAATGCATTGATAAGCGACTCTTTACTTACCAATATTAGGGTAGTGCAACCCGAAACAGCTCCTATAGATGCTTCTCCTCCCTTTTTTGCTTTTGCTTTTGCTTTTGCAATCAAGGATTCATTCATGTAGGCTGAAATAGCTCTTGCCCACGAATATCTTGAAAGTGTGTCTAGATTCACACAATGCTCAAATATTTTGCAGTGCAAAGTGGATGATGAGTTGGCAAAGAGGAATGTCATGCAGAGTAGGATCAAGATTAGGCTGACCACCTCCTTGTCGTAGTCAACAACCTCCGTTTCCTCTTCGTCTTCCCCTTCTTCTTCTTCAGCTTCCTTTTTTGCTTTTCCTCTCTTCTTTTGCTCCTTTTGCTCTGCCTTGGCCTTTTCTTTCTTTGGCTGGTTTGCCAAGGCAATTGTTTTTTGTAATTCTGCTTCTACCTGGTTTTTTGATGGTTTTCCCTTTTGTCCAAAGTGCCTTGTTCTGAAGGCATCAGTGTATCTATCATAGCCAAGTGTGACAGATTCTCCTTTGTTTGGCAGTCCTAGGATCTGAGTCACTGCATTGCCTGTGATGTGGAATGATTTTGTGCCGAACTTGAAGGACTTTGAATCTGGATCAAACTGGTTCAGCATCTGTATTAAGTCGAGGTCCGACTTATTCATGTTATTCATATCAATTTTCTGGTTGTAAAACACCTCAATGAAGTTCCAGAAGGGGGTTTTCTTGAGCAACATCTTCTGCCTTTGATTGAGCTTTGGTTTAACATCTGCAATGATGCTGTTGAAAGCATTGAGGCTGCACCGAAACTGGACATATTCCAGGTGCTTTGCTTTTCAATCATAGGATGGCGTTTTTTTTATCTTTTGAGCCATCGTTTTGATTCTTGGCTTTCGTTGGTTTTGAGCTTCATTCTCTTGCGCCATTTGTGATCTGAAACAAGAAGGGATGAAAACACTATTAGGTCAAGTAAAGATAAACTACAAGGAAGAAGTATAAATAGTTGAGCAGAAAAAAGAAAACATCAAACATCAAACATAATAGACATATAATATGAGTTTCTGCAATGCAGTTTGTGTTTCTGCAATGCAATGATCTATGCAGAAAACCCTCTTTGAAAAGGAGCAATCCAAAAGGCAAAACATCAAACATAATAGACATATAATATGAGCAATCCAAAAGGCAAAACATCAAACATAATAGACATATAATATGAGCAATCCAAAACACAAAACGAAAACGGAAACTGCGATGCAGAAAACCAAAAGGAAAACGAAACGGAACCCCAAACTAGAATTTGAGATGCAGAAAACCAAAAGGAAAACGAAAACGAAACCCCAAACCAGAATCTGAGATGCAGAAAACCAAAACCGAAACGAAAACGAAAACGAAACCCCAAACTGGAATCTGAGATGCAAAAAACCAAAACCAAAACGAAACCCCAAACCGGAATCTGAGATGCAGAAAACCAAAACCAA